TCCTGCTCCTAATGAGCAGACATAAATCACGGTAGCCCAAACGGGTTCGCCCATCTGATAATCACAAAATCATATTCAGCCAGGGGACCTGGCTGGTTGTCTTTTTCGGCTTGTTTGCTGGGTTCTGGCTGCACAGTCAGTGTGTCAGCTTGGGTAGGGGACAGAGTGGAGTTCCAGGAAGTAACCGAATCGCTCTACAATTACAGTCTGCGACAGGAGCAGCACCCGTTGGAGGATGCTCCCGAATCCTGGGACAACATGAGACACTTTTGCGAACAAAACACCGTTAGCAAGCAAAAAAGAACAACAACAAAAAATCTGCAAAGAAGAAAAGGGGAAAAGGAAAGCAGGCTACGAGACGACAAGAGTTATTTTGTATGGAAAGTATCGCATATCAGCAGACGACAAGGACAAGGACAGCGCTGAGAGCCAGGACGAGGGTCGGGCTCGGGTCCCGTCCCCGTCGCAGTCTCGGCCATTGTTTGAATGTAATGTAGCGCCGCATTTTCGTGCTGCTTCTGTGTACTTTTAGTGCTGCTGCAAAACGCATTTATTGAAGATTTACAGCGGCAACTTGCAGACAAACAACCAGCAACAAACGAGAACGGCTGGAAAAGCGAGCAGCGTTTGGTGCGCCTTTTGGCATTTGAGCAACTTACATATTTCCCTCGTTTTCCTCGTCCTTTGTTTTCCACAACGCCGCCGGCTACATAATTTCATTTGCATTGGCAAAAGGGACGTGAGAAAGGAGTGTGGAAAAGGTGAGGAGCGCAGGGGGTGCACTGAAAGGAAAATTGATTTGATTTGAGGGAATATATGATGACCTTCGTAGGTTCAATGAAATACCTTGAACGGTTTTATTTAAGGTAGATTTTACAGAACTCTAGCCTGATCAAAATAAAACCCATGGCAATATACATTATTCTTGAAATGATATAGTAATTTAGATAAATTTCTGATTTTTTCAAAAGATTCATTACAAAAATCATACTACTACTATTATATTACTATTTCTTACCGTGTTCGGAAAATCGTTGGGAAAATGCGGATGCGTGACTCCTTTGGGGCCAGCAGGCTGGGAAAACTTTTGCAGTTATGTCCGCAACAGGAAGGAAGGAGCAGAAGCAAATGCTTTAAGTATGCCCACCATTTCGTATTTGGGTGCATTTCGCATTTGCCTGCTGCTGACGCACGTACGAAGAAGGATCCTAAAGGGAGGACATCACAACGAGGTCTCCGGGGTGCACAAGGACGACACACGTCACGGCAAAAGTTAAAAGTTTGCCATCAATGTTTGCATTTCAAGTTTCACTCCTGGCTGGCAGTTCATTTTGCTTCTGCTGGGCGCTGTGCACAGACGTCCTTGACAGGATGACAGGGATCCAGGATGGCTGCTGCTGGATCCAGGAGTATGGAGCAGCTGCAGTCGCTTTTCGTGCACTTTCTGCAGCAAGTCACTCGGGCTCCACTTTAAGCGCAATTTAATTTTTTCTTCTCTAACTTTCGTTTTAAGCAGAGCTAATAAAAACGGCAAGTGGCTTTTGGCTTTAAAGCTGAAGAGGAATTCGATTTTAGTCTCAAAAGCTGTAAAACTTTTCTCACAACTCAGAGATAAGCGGCAGGTGCACTGGGAAATTTTGCAACTTGAAATTGAGATAAATTTAAGCATATATGTGAACGAAAGAACGTTCAATGTGGGGTTTTAATTGATATAAATTTATTACGAGCTAAGAATAATAATCAAAATGCTCTTAAATAAATTTGTAATATTTTCTTCACAATTAAACAGAATTTTCAGTTCAAATGAAACAATTTTTGGTTTACAACCTGCTACCTGAACAGCCTGCCAGCCCAATAAAAACGTTTCCAAGCTCTTGGACATCCAATCAGCCTGCTATTCAAATCGAGCCCAAAAGAGTTATCCTTTGGCAAAAAATCAATTGAGCTTTGACCACCGACTGAACTCAGTTAAATCTCTGAACCCTGCCGTCTGTGGGCTTTCATTCTGGAGTTTGGTGTCCAGAGTCTGCAACAACTTGGCAAATTAGATGATTCTCTGGGAAAACGAACAAGCCCCAAGAGTGGCGGCAAAGTTGCTACCGAAACTTCAATTCCCCTATCAGGTGCGGCAAGGGTTTGGAGTTGCGATTTGGCTTTCCAGTCGGTTTTTCCAACATTTCCCAGTCTGGCGTCTGCCCTTCCGGCTGTTTGTCTACTTACTCGACCGTTGTTTGTTGTACGTGTTGTACGCACGTAAACGATGCCAAGTCGAGTATTTATTACGCGCACAACTTGACATAATTCCCATTTTCTGGGGGAGGAAAGCGACTCCAGCGAGAGGTTGGCTGGGTCCTAAGCTGATGCAGCAGTTGAACTAATGCCATCGATATAGATTTATAACTCCGCCTGCACGTCTGTGTGAGTACGTTCAATTGCCTGCGCCATCATCATCAGTATCAGGGCCATACATTCAAGACGACAGCGATGTCATCAAGTTGGGTGGAACGGAAAAAATACAGGGGGAATGTTAGAGTACAGTGACTCGACCATGCAATACCCAGGATCTAGAGCATAAAAAAACAAGCCAACTTACTAGGGAAACAACTTTTCCTTTGGCTTAAAATCTTACAACTTCAATAATACTTTGATAGAACTACATCAAAAGGTTTCTTAGAGTTATCAATTAAGTTTACCTTATGCTTTATCCCCTTATATCCTCTTAAGATACTTTTTTGTTCCAAAAATATACTCTTATCCAATATACCCTTCCGTTCTACGAGTACCCAGCATGAAAACAAGTTGCGACTTAACAACTTCATCAGCTGGCAGCTCACTTAGTTTGGCTGACAGCCTATATGGATGTGGACATGGATGTGTATATGTTCGCAATGAGATTTCTTAGCGCATTAAGGAGCAGTATCAACAGGATCTGGAACAACAGCGAATAAATGCCATTAGCAGCCAACAAACTGTAAGCCAAAATGGCGCCATCAACGCGAAAATAATACGGAAAATGCGGCGTTAATGGCAACGTTGGAAAATAGGGCAGAAAGAGGGAGACGGCTGCATGTGGAGGCAAACGATGTTATGATTATGATTATTATGTTGCTATTAGATTAAGAGCAATTTTAACTTTTTCCGCTCGCTCACAAAGGCGAAAGGCGAAAGACTCAGGGCGAAAGGCTCCCCTTTTCCGATTTTCCGTTCCTTACTTGCGTTACTTTCTTTTTTCGTGCGTCAACGCTTTCCGTTTGGCTTTGGCTTACGACACTTGACGCCCCAGATCTCTGCCCCCCAAGTCTCCCTTCCTTATCCACCGCCCTCCCAACTTTCCGTGCACCCCGAAGGGCAGAGTTACTCCGCCATTGTTCTAGCCCGGGTCTTAGCCACGCTTAATTGGTTGGCTTTTATTACTTGGCAAGTACTGCAAGCGCATAATTTGCGACGGCGACGACGACGACGATGTCGGCGAACAGTGGGCCAACTTCAAGATTATACAAATTTCATGGATGGATTAACGAAGCACTTCCAAAAAACATTCTTAAAAGATCAATTGATTAGCCTGAAGCCGAAAGAAAGTTCATTAAAAGATTAGGAGGCTTCAAGAACATTTTATTCCATAAGTTCGTATTAATTTCAGTCTTGGTAATAATCTTTTTACGATGTAAATGATTCAAATTCATGATTATAAATTATGGTAATTTATAATAAGGAATCTGAATTAAATAAATATGAGTTAAGCTTGGAATAATCTTTAAATTTCTTTTTAAGTACAAGCTTCAATCTTAACTCGTACTTCTTACATAAACCCAAGCAACGAAACAATCTTCAAATTCCAGAAAATACACATTGCTAGTCGTAGCTCATGGTTTTCCTCCTTATTCACTGCTCTAGATTCTTTTTCTTGGCTGCGCAAACGGAGAAATCTTTTTTTAATTAAATAAGCATCCGTAGATTAGGAGGCAGGGGCCCCGGTATCACATCACTTCGCACCTACACCGTCTGGTACAGGGTCACGCCCACTGCGTTGCCGCCCACTTGGGCCACGCCACCCACCGGCAGGGGGCAGGCGCGTGCCTTTGGTAGTTTGCGGCACCATTTTAGCGCGAAATGAATTTAAATTGTTTGCCGTCGTTTCCTGCATTAAGGGCAGCTTCCTTTTGAAGACCTTCTTTGCCGGCGGAGCTGTAGAAAAACGAAATTACTCAATTACAACAATTATTAGATGGAACGGCCCCCGAAAGTTCTCAGTGGATGGGGGAGGAAGGGCTTCCTGCGGCAGCCCTGCTGTTTTGTTGCTGCTGCTTGCGCTGCTGCAGTTGTTGCTGCCTTTGTCTGTTAATTTAATTAAATATCTTTACACCTTCCGCCGACCCATACAAAAGCCCTTGTCTTGGAATTTTAGGTGTTAATTTCCTGTCCCGTAGATGCGAAAAACAACGAGTGCAGCTAGTCGGCTCTAATAAAAATAATTGCCACGGCCAGACAGGCGGCAGGAACAAGAACAGGAGCAGGCGCAGGAGCAGGAGCTGCAGTGGAAAATTACAAGACACCATGAAGGAGTACGGACCTCCGGGTTTTATGCTACGGAAAATTGCATGCGAAATAATTGAAAAGCATCGACTGCAGCTTTGTCCTGCCGCATCCTTGGAGCAGATAAAGTTTTCTCGCCACTCGCAGCTCCGGCTGCTCCGAAATAATAGCAGCCAAAGTGGTTGTAAATATTTTCCAGCAGCTCCTTCTCAGCCCGCAGCGTGACAAAATGCTGCGAAAAGTCATTTTTCAGCTAAATGAATTTGCGCCAACTGCGCAAAAAACGATGCCCAAAAAAAAATTGTGATTTCGCGGGGGAACAGGGGGATATGTAGCCCAAGGAAATGACTTTGCCACTGACCCAGCATCCTGCTGTGGGTCAGCGGCGAGTTCAATGCGCATCTAATGAGGCGATCCAAGATGTCTCCGCCACGACTAACCGCCCAAACTTTCTGTTATCCTTGCAGGTCCTCCAGGTCCGCCGGGTCCGCAGGGCAAGCGAGGGAAACGCGGCAAGAAGGGCGATGCCGGCGACAAGGGCGATCCGGTAAGTGGCTCCAAAAGCTAAATAAAATTGTGAAATATATTAGCAATAATCAAGTTTTTATAATTTCTGAAATATTTTAACAATTAATAGTAACAACAATTAACGATAATTATAACTATTAAAGCATTAAGAAAACTTTATTAAGCACTAACTTCTGAACGAAGTTTAAACATTTTAACATAAATTTAAATCGAAAAGAAATGCAAATATAATCCTTGTTCTCCCTCTGCAGGGCCTCAATGGCATCGGTGGGGAAAAGGGTGCGGCAGGCAAGCCCGGTGACAAGGGCCAGAAGGGTGACACCGGGCATCCTGGCATGGATGTGTTCCAGACGGTGAAGGTAAGTCGGCGTCATCCCAGCCTCCATATCATCCTGACATCCTGCAAGGGCTGCTGCAATTCTTGGCCGCAAATTAAATAGAGTCTAACCGGATCTAAATTGCTTTGCATTCCTAGGGTCTGAAGAGATCGGTGACAACGCTGCATGGCGGCACGCTGGGCTATGCGGAAATAGTTGCTGTTAAGGTATTGCCACCACCTTCCACCCACTTACTCGCCACTTGCCACTGCTCCCCGTCCCCTGCCTGTTATTTCCCATTAGACGTAGACATGGTCAAGACCATTTTTCAGGGGCCAAATGCAGATGGCCGGGAGATGGCAGCTGGCACACAACAAATTATTTGCAACTTGTTGTCCTTGGTTGTGTCTCCTTGGTCCCTGCTCTGGATTTGTGCTGTCCGGTCCTTGTAGTTGTCCTTCGTGTAGTTGTGTTTATTGTCTCGCTTCATTCTCGTTTGTAATGCTTTTAAGTTGTCTCCTGTCTTGGCTCTTTTGTTTAAACTGCGCCATAAATTTGTTGCAACATCGTAGTTTGGTCGATTTTTCCCCCCTTTCATTCCCTCTTCCCGGGGTAGTGGCATCTTTTTGGTAGTTTTTAATGGAATTTCTATCCTATTTGTCCCGAAGTCTTGAGTTTCACTTTAAGGCCATTTAATTTGGCTCAACTATAGCTTTTGTTGCTTTCAATTTTACAGAAGCTTAAAATAGTAGTTGTTTTCCTGATTTTAAAACCTGAACTTAACTTTGTTTTGCTTAACTCTTTGCATTATTCCCTACTTAGTGAGTAGTAATTATTGGGTAGTTGTTAATTCAAATTCCTTTTGTTATATTTACAAGACAAGACTCACTAAGAGCTTGTTACCTTTCGTAGTTTGGCCTCCTTTTAAATAATTAAAACCTGTTTTATTTGCCTTAATTTGCCTAATTTCGCTTTTGCAGCAGTCTTTGACTAACATTTTTTGTTCATATATTAAAACATTTTATTTGAAACATTATTTTGATTAACCCATTTGATTTTTAATATTCTTTGACGGTACATTGTTGTTTTGGTTATTGTTGATGCTGTAAGGACTTGCAAGAAGCAGGCGTCAATGTATCCGCTTCAACAGTCATACAGCTGAAGGTGAGTTCGTTGAAGCCTCCTTTGTTCCCAGCATGTCCTGTGTATAGTTTATGTCCTGCACGTGCCTCCGACCTGGCCAACTCCACGGGAGATTTTAAGCTAATAAACATGTTTCCCCGTTCCCCTACCCCCACAGGGTGAGCCTGGAGAGCCGGGTCCACCGGGACCGCCGGGCGAGGCGGGACAGCCTGGTGCGGCTGGTGAACGTGGACCACCGGGCGAAACCGGAGCGCAGGGTGTCCAGGGCGAGACCGGACAGCCAGGACCCGCCGGACCGCCTGGAGCGGCGGGCGCACCTGGCACGAAGGTGAGTTCCCCAGCATGATTCACCGAAAATCCCACACAGAAAACCGAAACAAAGGCCGCACACACACACACACACACTCTGCCACAACCAGAGCCACGACAATGAAAGAATCGGGGGAGGAAGATGTCACCAGGATTAATGCATTATTTGTATCTGTTGGATAAACACGGCGACGGCTTAAGTGACTGCCAGTGATTCGCTGTCATCCTGTCTTTTGTTCTCCTGATTTTCCCATTTTCTTTATGGCTCGCCCTTTTCAGTCCCGCTCTTCGGTTTTCCACAGCATTTTCGTTTATCGTTTATTTATGCATTAGGGCTAGGCTCTTCTATGACTCTGGATTTCCCCTTAATCCCTCAATGACTCACTCTCGCACTCTCCGCAGGGCGACAAGGGCGATCGGGGCGATCGTGGCCTCACCACAACCATCAAGGGCGACGAGTTCCCCACGGGCATCATCGAGGGTCCTCCGGGGCCGCCGGGACCACCTGGTAAGTGCCAGCTGATTTTCTGTGTGTTTGTTTGTGCGAGCATCATCCAACAGCCACTTAACGCCCAAGGAGATACAGATACGGATACGGATACAGATACTATGGTGTACAGAGAGAAAAATGCTAGTCTAGACTTTTCTTTTAAACACAATATTTCTTACCTGAATGAAAAGTAATTTTTAGAATTTGTATAACTTAATTTACAAAACAATCATATGTTTCATAGAGGTGTAAGGTAATCTCTAGAGATTTTCCGTTTCTTTCGGTGAAATACCTTATTTTTCCCTGTGCAGATACATTGATGCAGATACAGATACTGGCGCAGTTTGGGCATCGGTCGATCGATGAGTTTTTCAAGTGCTGCCACGCGGCTGCGGGTCGCCTAATTTATTGTCATCCGCATCTGGGAATGCTCTCACCAACAGAAACACCAGCGCATCGGCCCCCATCCTTATCCTCATCTAATTGAGTCATTGACTAGCGCTGGGTGCCATTAGTTTGGCCTTTGATTTGCTACAGGCCTTTTATTTTTGGCCGGCTCGTTAAATGGAAATCGGAGTGGCAGCGTGCATTTCCCCGATTTTATTCTTTTTGATGGGATCACACATTTTTTAAATATTTTATTGCATAACCCGGGCCATATTTGGAAATTTTCTAATTTCATTTGGCTGCATTTTGGCGATAACATTCACGACCTTTGTTGTTCGTCCGCCTCGTTCGGACTTCAGCGTCAATTAAATGCGCACAAAAATGTCGGGAGTTCGGCACCCGCCCATCCGGGCCACGCCTCCTCAAATGGCACGCCCACAAACAACAATAGAATTTCCATTTATTGGAGTTCGCCCCGGGTTTTATGAGCCGGCCCCAACACATTTCTGCACTTTATTCGAATTTAATACACGAAAATAGCCCAAAAAACATGCCGTTCCAAAATAGTTGAAACGCGCCCGAGAATCCAATACAAATCCAGCAATTCTCGTAAAAATTTGTAGACCCCAAGAACCCCCAACACTGGCCGCAGTCGTAAAAATGCAACTTTATGTCATTTATGTTGCTTTTAGCGGCTCATTAGCATGACTACCATCGAGAGTAGTACAACACCACAGCGGGGAATGGTTTGGGATGGGATGGGTTAGGATGGATAGAGCCCGACCTCAGTGGGACAGCTTGTACTATTGTTTTAGTATTTTACTAGGGGCACTCAGTGGTCGCAATAAATGGGCAATAGGCCGGGGCTGGGACTGATGGATATAGTAGATGGATTGATGGTCACCAATAAAAGTCGAGGGCGACAGTGGAAACTCCTTTGACCAATTGATGGATTGCGGATTAATGGCGTTGATGATCCGTGGTTGAGATTTTATTGGGGGAATAGAATTTTAATTCAATTTTCCTTTAAATAATTTCTTTTTTATGGCTTAGAATTACGCCCACTCGGAATTACGCTTGCCATAGCGTTGATTACCCATTCACCAAACTGCCAGTTTAATGGTGTTAATGATCTTCGGGAATTAAATTTTAATTTAATTTATTTCTTGAAGCTTGAATTGACGATTTTATGAGGGAAATAATGTTTATTTAATAGGTATTTCCAAGCAGATTCGAAATGGATAAAGGAGTTGAATTGCTTTGACAGTCACCAACTATTCCTCGTTTGGCCAACTGCTAAATTTACGATTTATTTTCATTCCCTTAAATGAAGTGCTCCTTGATTGAATACCCCTGGTGCATTTGACCGTTCGTTAGGCCGGCGAGCAGCGCCATCAATTAAGCGCTTTTCTGCGGTATGTGCAACCCGCATCATTACGAGGGCCCTCCTCTTGGACCCCTCCCTTGTTTCCCTCGTGACCTTCCGCCCCATCCCCACACCATCCTGCGCCTCTTGACTTATCAGTGCCTGGCATCACGGTTGCATCCCAACTGATTGTGCGATTGCGATGACGCTGCTCGTGTGGCTGCCCATTGTATCTGCACTTCTTTCGGCGCTGAAGATACACTTGAAAATTCTTTTGAAATGGAACTTAAGGTTTTAAGTTTCCCCAAGTCAAATCCTAATTTATTAATATAAAAATATGCAATATTTTTATCAATTTTATTATATTAATCCAATTGCGAACTGATGGGGTATACAAACTTTGGCTTCCCGAAGTTAGCTTTCATGCTTGCTTTATTCTCTGAGTGTACAAGATCTACAGCTGCGATATCTGTCGCCAGTTGCAGTTGCAACTAGAGTTGCTGATGCCGATGCATTCGATTACTTCCGCAGAGAGATGTTGGATGCTGTGACCATTCCCCCGCCGAATCTCTGATGCGTTGATGGACATGAAATTGCAATTTATTTTTTCCCCAAATTCAGCGACAAGAAGCAGCTCTGGGGACATCGTTTTGGGCTTGATTTGAATAAATGGAACGTCATTTGTATCCGGGATTCCCTGCGTCTGGTCTCGACGGCTTATCTTATCGGGCACGTAATTAGTTAAGCTGCCCAGGGCTTTCTTTATGTGTTCTGTTGTGTTGTGTGGGCTTGGCAGCCATGACCAATCGGTTGTCCGACGGAAAATGCCGGTCCACCAGAATGAGAGAGAGATTTGAAAATCTCAGCACAATCCCGGCTGGAGGACAGCAAAAACAAAGCCAGCACCAGCTGTAATATCAAAAAATTCAATTTATTTCATGATTTATTTGAATTTCATTTCATTTGGTTTTTGGTTGATTGCATTGCGTCTTCGGGCAGCTTCCGTTCTATGAAATTAAAACTTATCTTTTGCATTTCATCTGCCAACAGGGCGAGTGGCCATAGGCCAGCCAGCAAAATAAACAGTAAGCTGGCCGGCAATCCAATATCCTGGCTGCTGGACACTATAAATCCTCCATCCACTTTACGTTGCCTGGTGTCTGCTGTATATAGTTTTTATTCTGTATTGCAATTGTCGCCCTAAAATGCTTAACGGTAAATTATGCAACCATAAATAGAAAACCACAGACCAGACAGTGAACGAGTGCAAGTTAAAGGGGAGAGCGTGTCACGGAGTCTCAGTTTCTGCGTTCAATTTAACGATAGTTTTCATGGCCTCAGCAGTGCATATATACTTAACTCTTGACAGCTGAAATCTTGAACTTTTAGTGTCCAAGTTTCTTTTGAGACTTTTATGGCAAATCGTGAAACGTGCTTAACCTGTTGGAAATTCGCTCACCTCTAGCGGAAGCTCGCTGGATACTCCGGACAAATGCTTTATAAACAAATGGGAGCCGACATCACAGGATCTGTCCTGGCAGGCCGGCAAATTTATGCTCTCCGCAGGACGAGGTCGTCTACGTGAAACGCAATTTTACGAACTTAATAAATTTTCTATATCTTTTCGCAAAACGCACACCACACACACACAGGCCCTGGCCCGTTTTGACAAGCCGCACAATTGGATTTATCTATGATACCAGGCCCCTTCCCCAGGCCTAGAACCACTCTCCTCCTGGCCCTTGGAGTCCTTGTTGGCTCATTTAATGGCCATGGCAAACAAGCCAAAACAAAACCGAAAAAAAAACGCAATTTCTCATTATTCTAACTAAACAGGTTGGACGTCGGCCGCACAGTGGGCCAAAAGTCAATTTAACGCTGATGGATTTATGAGCCACTTCGACGTCCCGGCTTAGGGACAAAGCACGCAAATTGAGTGAAGAGCAAGCGTTTAGCGGGATTGAAAGCTGCCACGAAGCGGTGAATTCCCGGCCAATTTCGAGGCGGATGATGATGAGCACAAATTGGATTTGAGAGGGGAACGGAGCCGTAGCTTTATTTTCTAAGTACACACACTCAGATTCCGGATTCCGGATTTCACTTCCGCCCCAGTTCATCGGGCATCCTTGAAGGCATAAATAAAGTCAGCGCTTGCAGCTGCCAGCGAAAGTGCAGCTTATGCATATTAAATTGTTATTCCGCATCTGTTTGCATTCCAATTCCATTCCCTCGAGTCGTGAAAGGGGACTCTGCTCTAGGTACATATATAGTATAAATTCCGTAAGTGGGTCAAGTCGTTGCTGTCATTAGCATAGGAGGGACAGGAGGAGCTGTGTGACTAACCGCAGGGCCTTGAACTATTTACCATCGATTGCCAACCACTGTGAATCCATTGTGCTTTATTCTCCGGCAAATAAACAATTTGCATTCCCAACTAAGCCCCGGCCATCGTTAACCCATCAAGAGGCTGTCTGTCCCTTATCATCAACCAGTTGAACAAATTGCTGACCAAAACCAACAAATACAGCGGTGGAGGCGGGCTCGGGGGCTTCATTGAGCGCTCGTTGCTCTATAATTACAGAGGTCCACGCCCACTGTTTGGACAACACTTGCGGGCGTATCTGTATCTGTGCATCTGAATATCTGAATATCTGAACAGTTGAGTATCTGCACAGCGAGAACAATTAGCAAAGATATGGTAGAACTTGGAATTTATAATAAAGAAAGAAGGTTTTTAGTAAAATAAGGCCAAGTTGCAAGGTTTCTGAGAGTAGAAAATTACCTAATTTAGGTTTCAATAAGAAAGTTTATAAAGAGATAAAAGGTAAGCTCAAAAGGTTTTTTAAGATTGGAATATGAAATATATTAAAGTTAATTATATGATATTTGATATTGTTTAATTTCAATTACTTTAATATAAAAGCTTTCTTCTTTTTCTTGTTTAAAATAATAACCCATCGAATTTTTTCTCTCTGTCCATTGGAGTATCTGTATATCCGTGGCATTGTTTGCTCGCATTTTGAAATCTGTCACTAGAAGCGGCTCGCTGAAATTAACATTTTCCACAGGTCCGCCCGGAGAGCCTGGAGTGCGGGGCGAGGAGGGACCCATTGGACCCGCCGGACCGCCTGGCGAGAAAGGACCGCGCGGCAAACGCGGCAAGCGGGTGAGTTGAAAAGAGACCAGAAAAAAAATACCTGATTCCACTCGATTTTTAATTAGAAACTCGACAGCGTTGGCTGTAAATTGAGTTCGGAAACAAGAGTGTATTATCATGTAAATTACTTTTGTACAAATGCGTGGGCGCGTGTGCGTTAATTTTATGCTAATCTGTAAATATAGTACTACGCCCCGAGGGCCCCAGTGTATATACCTACAACACATGCATATATATTCCGTGTAAGGGACCCAAACTTATCCTTCCGCATGGGCTCACCTGCATGTTGGCAGTCTGTGTAACGAGCATGTTTACACGACTCCGGGAACGTGCTACTTAACTCATTACAGCAGGTATCCTGGGCCGTGGAGCGAGGCTGTGACAAGCAGCCAAGGAGATGTGCGCCAAAAGTGATCAGTGTTGTCAACAGAAATCCTAAAGAACAGGAAAACTAAACATGAAATAAGCCAAAGAAAATAGTACACTTTTCCCATAGGGATTAGGGTCTTTAAAGAGTCTAAAGTACAGTATTTTATGATTTCCGAAAAACAAAAGACAAATGAACATAACTGGCTCCGCCCCAGACACGAAACTATGCCAAAGCCCATTCAAGTTGTCAAAAATATTTTCGCGCTCTAATCTCGGGCTTAATTTATGGGAGTCTTGCTACATATCGGAGGCATCTATCTTGGTATATCTACGCGTTATGGGCCTGCTCCGGCGGAATGTCAACAGTGCGAAGATACTTAACATTTTTATTGGCACTCCGAGTGTCGGCAGCTGTTGCCGCCCTCTGACGTGTTGATGGATGCACGATATGGGTGGCAGTCCGCTGCCGGGGGTTGGAATTTTCATTTGGATTTCCCTTCTTTCTTTTTTTGCGCATATATGAATATGTAGCCGGGCCCCCAGCACGTGTTTGTGTGCGCCATGAAAAATGCATAAGCGCCGCCAGCGAAGCTGCCTGGATGAGCTCCGTTTCTTAGGATTCCGCTGGCCATATTGATATGCGTGTGTACATATATATTATGCTGCTCAACCAGCGCGCAAACATTTGCGCATTTTGCCCATTTCCACGTAGCCCAGGAAGGGCTGGGGATCTCAGGGGGAGGGAGAGAGTATAGGAAAAACATTCTGATTATTGTGCTGCAAAGTCAAAGTCATGGCAGCCGTGCTGCTGCTGCTGCTGCTCCTGCTGCTGCTGCTGCCTGTTGTTGTAATAACGCGTAATGCCAAAAGAAACAGGCAAGCCGACTTCCTTCAATACGCCCAGCAGCGAAACAACAAACAGAAAAACACAAAACCGAAACACTGGCAACGTGCAGCATTTCTTTTATGAGTTTGTCCATGGATTTCCTTTCCCACCCAGCGAGGGCAGTTACAATGATTGTAACCTATAACTGAAGCATTTTAACCTTTTACAAATTTAAGATAAACAACTAATTGAGAACATACTCAAGCTTCTTAGCCTTTATGGGCAACTAACAAAGTTCACATATTTCTTAAAAGAAATTCCAACAAATGTAGAAATATAAAATAAATATGAAAACAAAATGCCTGCACTACATTCAGTCTGCCACAAAATCCAGCTATTCAAAAAGGAATTTGTATATTAAAATCAATTAAATAACTTCACAAGTTTGTTCACTAAAAAGTCCAATAGCAAGAAATGCATTCAGGCTTAACCTGAAATTCAAGGAAAATAAATATTTTTGCAGGAAGGAGGAAGTTTATAGACATTCCACAGAACTTTTCGATCTTTCCGCCAGACGGTGGCCTTTCTTTTTAGGCTGCCGATTATTCCAACTGAAATTTCCCTGCAGAAAAAAGCCACTGCAGCAACGTGATGTCAAAACAAATGAAAGTCATAAGAAACGGCAGACTCTGGCGGCGGCTGCGGCTCCTTGCTTTTGGCCCCCGTGGGCCTTCTGCTTTGCAAACAAACAAAACTTTGGCCAACAAACAAAACAGCGGCGGCGGCGGCAGCAGCAGCATCAGAAATATCTATATTCGCACCCATATTCACGGTACCGCGGGCCATGCAAGGCATAACAAATTATTTGCAACAATTGCCGTCATCTTTGGTGGAAACGTGACGCCTGCGAGGCAGCAAGTTGATTTTCTCTTCGATTTGTCCCGAACTCTTGGAGCTCTCGAACGCGGAACCCCCAGTGCGATGTCGTAGGGTAATAACGATAATGAGGCGGGGATTGGTGGGAAAAAAAAGGAAAGAACGCTGCATCTCGAAATTAGCTCAGTGGGGAAGTTGCCATAATTAGTTCGGCAAATCGTAAAAAGCGCCGAATTGCCGGCTAGAGCTATTTTCGAAAACATTTATCCGTTTCTCGCCAACAGCATCTGTTTCTGGCTAAGACCATTCCCCGTTTTTCCTCCTTTTTTTTGGGGTTATTGCCTAGCCGTCGGCGTCATAAAAAAAGGCATAACGCAATTGCTGGCATTATAAATTTGACATGTTATTTTCGTCGCCTCGTCAGAATAAAATACTCATATGGATTGCCACATTCCAGGGGCGGCAGAATAGGTTGATGACGGGCTGGCATATGAAATGAATTTGAATTTTGGGCGTAGTGAGTTGAAAGGAGTCGATGGTACTTTGCCCTACATTCCGTCGCGCCAGATGTAATCTCTGGAAGCACTAAGCCCAGTGACAAAAATCAAACTAAGTCAGCTGTCAAAAAAATTATAAAACGAACTTGGTTCATTTATCTGGATTTCTGAAGGGCTTTAAATCTGTTTAAGAAGAAATGTGCTTTTACATGAAATATTTAAAAGATTTGCTGGCAGTTTCTATTAAGATTTACTCTCTATGAAGCGGTCTTACCAAGATTCTTAAGTTTCCTTAACCTTAAACTATCTTCGTCAAAGCAATACAATAGATACTTTCAAAGGTATTTCTCAAGACAACATTTTACCAAATTTCTTACCTAAAAAGTACAAGTACTTCCCGGCTGCAGGGTATTAACATGATTTTTGCCCGCATGACGGCCGCGGCAAACATGAAATTTACGACCGGGCATCATATTAAAAATTTAAATTAATTTCCAACTGGGTGTGACGAGTGGAATTTTCTATTTATCCACCGCTGCGAGTTGGAAATTTGCACTTTCCGCATCTATATTTCGGTTTAATAAAGTTGAAACGCAAAGTCGTTGGGGGGGCGACGGTGACGGTGACGGCGATGTACAAGGGACGCTGCAATCTCGGCCCAAAGAAACTGTTTGTGAAGCGTTTATGTCAAATTTATGCTAATGTATTTTACAATCGTTGCTCAGTCGGGGCCCATGTCAAGTTTGTTGTCTTTCGAGCCCTTCACATCAGCATAAATTTCCCAGAGCCCCGCTCGGATGCGCTTGCCTTATCACGGAAAAGTTTTCCCGCACCGCCTGCGTCTAAGTAAATGGAGTCATAAAAATTGCGAAAGTCGCAAAAAACTTGTCAATTCGCTACACGTCACACGGTCTCGCCCTCGAAGGAAATGCGATCCCAGGAACTCCTCAACTGCGATGGGACGACCGAGAGCTTGACGCAAATCAAAGACTTAAGGTTGCTTACACGGAAATCCAAATGCGGCAGGACCCTCCCTGTGTGTGTATCTGAGTGTGTGTGTGTTTTCTCGAATGTATCTCATGTCTGCCACTCAAAGGGTTCATCGTTTTGGCCAATTCGCTGGCGGGGTGACGGGTGTTGCCTAAACGACGCAATAAGCTTAGCACTTCCACCACCACGGAGCACGGAGAACGAAGCACGGAGTCCTGGCTTCAGGATCCTGGATTTTCATTGCTTCAGCTTGAGTGGAGACGACTTGGCGTCTTTGTTTGATAAGCGCCACGAAATGGCCAACAATGTTACATCATTGTTCATTGAAAAGTGCGCAGCATGCAAATTTGCCCCTCCGGCAACAACAACGAAGAGGACGCTTTTTTTTTGTGCGCAATTTTCCAATTTTCCTCGACTGCGGCAATTATTTGCGGTCATCGCCCATATATCTTATATTGAATGTGCGGGCAAAAAATCGGTCAAGCATTGAAAACACGCCGCAGGACACACACATGCGTGTGTACTAGGGGTTGGATTGGAGTTGGGCGAAGGGAGTGCGTAATGTCCTGGCCCCAAGGGTGTGCGTAACTTTTATTTTATGGCCGCCGATGATGAGAGCGCTGTGGGAGTCACAAAAACGATTGAATAAAGAAATCCAGGCTCCGGGACACCCACGCCAACTTGGCGACAATGCCGTGACCCCAACCATCCCGCAAGCCCCACCCTTTTTGAGCCAAACCCCCCCATCCAGTTAGCCAGTCTCATAGAAATTTATAGGCACGCGTGTTACATTGACGTGGGTCTGAGGTTGCCAACAACCCAGGGAAGCTCTGGCTGGGGGAAGGGAGAATGTTTTCCGGGGGAGCTTGAACCTCGGTGAAATGGGAAACGGAAAATGGAGAATCCGGATCCGGAAGGGGGGGGTTGTGCATGCAAAAGTAGCAAAATTATACGAAACGAACGCGCTTTGCCAACCTAAAAACCAACAACCAACCGCACAAATGCCAACTGCTGCCATCTTGGCATTGATGCGAAACCTGGCTCCTTGAGGAAGCCAAAACGACGAAATCTTTAACAACGATTTCCCTAAATACTTCCGAATTTCATACATATTACAATATCACGGCAGACGGAGTAGCAACCGCAGCTACATTGTTGAGGGCGAAACGAAATCACGCGAAATTTTTACAACGCAACTTGACTTGTTTCCTTCTCCTTAGCAAGGACAGTGGTTTTAAAACCATAAATTGTGCACATTCTAAGGTTAAAGTAACTCTTGGGTATTTCCATTTCAATTTAGAAGTTGCCATCTCTGTGGGAAGAGAGTTCTAAGGTTAAAATTACTCTTTCGTATTCCTAAATTAAATTCTGAAAATTCCATTTTTATGAAAAGAGAGTTAGAAGTTCTGAAATTTCAAATTTTAATCATATTTATACTGCATCTGATATGGTTTTCGTACAACTTCCTCTCCTTCCTGGTGGCACATGCAAGTTGCGTAACGAAAACATTCTCAGATTGTTTATAGTCCCGCCCTTTTTATGACCGGAATGGCCCATTGTACTCTGTATCAATGCGAGGCGGAACATATTACGAATTTAATGCGCTCGCGTACTTGCAAAGAATGTTTCGTAAACTTTTGCGGCGAACGCGCCGCGCATTACACGCCATGAAGTGCCGGGATTTCGGCTGAGTGTATGTGTGTGTGAGAGAGAAAGCCGGAAATGGGCTGCAAAACTTTCACCTCAGGCGGAATCCGAATCGAAGGCGGGCGGGGGTGGGTGCGCTTTTTTCCGCCTTTCCGCGGAGCTGTTGTTATGACCCGAGAAAAATATGGAATTTCAAAAGAGGAAAATGTGCCGGGGAAAATGAAAAATTGTGAAAAATATGCGCGCACGCAGGGAGCACGGCGGCAGATGCTGTACTTGAAGTGGCCTCCACCTCCAGGACGACCTCCTCCTCTCCTAGGTCATTCTCGAGGACCAGGACCAGCTCCCCTCGCCAGCGACATTCGCCAAAGGTCGCGTCGAGATCAAAATGATTTTCAATTTAACGCGTTTACGTGCGGCCATTTGTCTGTTTTCCCTCTCCCCACCAGGTTTTCCTCGGTTTTCCCGACCCTGCCTGCGAGGCAGCTTTAAATGGCAACTACGCCGGACGCATACCGAGCGGAATCCCGGAAAAACAGAAGGACGAATGCAATTAATTTACAATTACATTGCCCAGGACGAACTAAAATCGCAAAAAAGGTGCTCCAAAAAGTATGCAACCCAGTCGAAAAACTCATTTGCTTCGTCATTTGTGCGTTAAATTGAAAAGCGTTTGCCCAAATATTTTCAATATTTACGCATAATTTAAGAGAGAGTCCCTACAAACACAGCGACACCCGCATTCGCATTCACACACCGCCTTGGGGCTGGTGTGTCGTGTGGGACTGTGTTTGGATACTTTGAAAATTAAATTCAACCCGAGGCGCTCGCTCGCACAAATATTGATACATTCTAATGGATTTCCTTGCACACACACACTTACACACACTGGCACACACTTGGGCCTCCGCAATCTGATTGGGATTTGGGCTGCCGAAAAGGCAGAGTTTTTCTCTTTTTTTTTATCGTAGTTAGGCAGCTGCGCCAACAATCGTCCTTGCGAGCCCAACAAACATTTGCCCAATTCACTTGCTCGCCGTCTGCATCTGTAGCTGTATCTTTGTATCTTTTATTTATGTTATTTATCGCATCCTCCCGGCAGTGGCCTTTAAAAGCCTTTAAACCTGCCCGCTTGCGTAGGCTTCCTCCCAGTTCCTTGGAAGGGGACTCGTGTTTATCATTGGGGAGGAAATGTGGACACGTAAGCCCTCAAAGTGTCCCTTAATTACGGCAGAAGGCAAACGTTAAGCGCTTTGGCTTTAATTCAAATCGCTTTAATTGCTCTACAAATGGCCAGACCAGAAGGGAAGCAAAAGCTGAAGCTGGAGCTGAAGCCATAGCTGTATTCCCATTCCGCATTACGAACAATGTGCAAAAGTTGCTAACAAAGCGCCAACTGACGCAGGAACTGGCATCCTCTGGCACACAGGACACAAGCACACCTGCTCAGGAGCGGCATGCAGATGAGCTGTAAGTGTTGCCAACTCTTGTCTGTCTGTCTATTAAAAATAGCCAAAAATAAATGTAAAGTTCATGTGATGGAAGTTAAAAAAAACTAATATTACTTAATAAATATTTTTTCTGATTAAACAGCCTCTAAAATAGCTGAAGATATCTTCTGAAAATAGCCAAATCTGGCTGCAAAACTACTAGCCTGCACCGATGAGCTGACTCTCTCGGGCGCAAAGAAAATGCCAAGAGGGAAAAAGTTGAAATTGGGAAGTGCATTTGCGGTGAGGCAAGGACTTATGTAGGCTCCTCCTTCTCCTGCTCCCCCTACGTTGTCTCTGCCGCCTTGTCTGTCCAAAGGACCTACAACAACAGCAACTTATGCATATGCCAAGCCACATCCTGTCCGTATCCGTGCGAGTGCGAGTGTGCGTTAAGCGCTTACATTGTTATGCCTTCTCGCTGATGCCGTTGTGCTTATTGTTGCTGCTGTTCTGGCCGGGTTTTAATAACTGTAAGTACGCCACTTCCTGTGACACAAGGATATGTAATTGTTGCACATGCCTGGGCATGCCGCAAGGAAATTACACTTGCAGGCGCAGAGACACACAGCTACAGACAGGATCAATTGCATAATGCCCTGGAAAGGATGCCCATACGGGTGTAATCGCAATCAAAGGGATAAGCGGATACGTTCAATCAGATTGAACCATGTGGCCTTACTGCTGCTCGGAGAGCTCTTTCATTTAATTCCAAGCAGAAAGTCGAGGAGCTTTAATGCCGAGCCGAGGCTCATCTTATTCCCAACTCGATTTGCCGGAATGCTATTGAATATTCCACTCAAAGTCGAGTGTCTCTATTCGCCTGGGCCACATGTGTAAATGGTTTTGCCCCATTATATCCTTTATTCGAGTTTTTGCCGAGGCGCGCTCCTCCTTAGCATATTCGCCGCACTCGTTGTTTTTGCTGAAGTTGCCTTTTATGACGCTCAGCATTTTGCCTAATAGAGGTTTTTGTTTGGCTGCATTGCGGTCTGAATGCAAAGCCCACGCCCCCGACATCGCTAAACTTTTGGTAATTTGCCAACGTATACAGTGCACTGCCAGAAAACGTGTTTTTTTCTATTATTCAATTTGAATTTTAATTACCGTGAACACATGGGCATTCTAATTAACTTTATAATATTCAAAAGAAGTAAACAAAAAAGGGGAATCTAATTACAGATAAATACATTATTTATAGAATTCATACACAAATATTTATATACATAAAGCAAGACTTTAAAAGCCACATCCTTGAGCAGTGTGTGCCCATTTAAGCCCTGTTCAAAACTTTAGACTTTATTCGTTTTTGGGTTCTTCGATGTGAGTGCCTTGGAAATTTGCCTCGCAGCGCACACATTAACCAACCGAAAAAAAACTGCTGAAAAAAAACAATTAATTGTCTTTCGCTATGCACTCGCTCACTTACGCACACACACGTACCAAAGCACACAATGGCAGGACGAAAGAGCACCCACACACTCTCGCACAAAGGAGAAGCACTCACACAGGCACTCGAAGCACGTAGAGAAGTCGCTGCCGCTGACTTGACTTTATTTTCGACTCTCGCACTCACTTGCTCTCTTGGTCCCGCACTCTCAGTGCTGCCAAAGTCCTTTTTCAAAAAAAAAATCAAAACGAAAAAAAGAGGAAAAGGATTTCATAACCAAATAGAGAAAATAAGTTGAATGCTTACCAATTGTTTTTAATGCAGTGCTAAAAAATTCTTCAAATCAAACAAATTCAAAACATCTCTTAATTAAACAATAAATCTAAGCAAAGGGTTAGTTGAAATTGATAAATAAATTTACAGATTTAATTTACTATAAATTGGTCAAAGGAAAAATATTTAGTAAAGGACATAATCCCGAATGGAATGCACAGAAGTTCCTTAGGAAAAAAGTCAATATGCTCAGCACTGGCTGCAGAGTTCCACGGGTCTACGGATTCGGTTTTAAAGATTTTCTATGCAGGCATTGTCTCAACGGGGGAGGTGTGGCTGGTTTTGGGGGAATGGGGATGCCGCGTGGGTGGTGGCACGGATGCTCCAACTTGCACTTAACACAATTTCGTGGCGCACAAAAGACTTTCGCTGCGGCACACGGCTCAAGCCCAGCACAACCACCGGGACTCACCGCACCACCTCCAAGCCCCTCCCGTCCAACCCCCATTCAGTCCACTTTCCTCCGGAGTACAACCCCCGTGGAACCCCTCTCTCCTGCGGGTGAAGAACTTTTTCCATAGCCTCCTTTGTTTTGCCCCATCAAAGCGTGTGGAACAAGCGCGTGCAACGCCTCGGGCGGTGCCACGTGGCATAAATTAATCTTCCCACTAAATTTGGCATCTTCTCTCTCCTTCAACCCTTGCAACCGCGTGTAACTCGCACAGATATTCGGACCTGGTGGCACCAAATTAGACGAGGACTACGACGATCCGCCGGTAACCCTACTGCGAGGCCCACCGGGACCGCCTGGCACGGCCGGCAAGGATGGACGCGATGGACGAGATGGCAGCAAGGGAGAGCCTGGAGAGCCAGGCGAGCCGGGATCTCTGGGTCCGCGAGGATTGGACGGACTGCCGGGTGAACCGGGCATCGAGGGACCGCCAGGATTGCCGGGATATCAGGGTCCGCCCGGTGAGAAGGGCGATCGCGGAGATATTGGTCCGCCGGGACTGATGGGACCGCCGGGTCTGCCCGGACCACCAGGATATCCGGGAGTCAAAGGCGACAAGGGAGATCGCGGTGATTCGGTGAGTACAAAAAACGACTTTTCGTTTATTTTTAAGCCGAACCAAACAATAATCAGTTGACGTAATATATTGACTGTTCATTTAATCCTATCTGGAGCACCCATAACCCCCATAATTATCCCTTTCAGTACCGCAAGATGCGCCGTCGCCAGGACGACGGAATGTCCGATGCCCCGCACATGCCCACCATCGAATACGTAAGTCAAGCCACCACCTTTGGCCCACCAGAAGCCACCCCATAAGATTAATCCTAACTGATGTGATTTCCCCCGCAGCTATATGGACCGCCAGGACCTCCGGGACCCATGGGTCCGCCAGGACACACCGGCAGCCAGGGAGACCGCGGTCTGGACGGACGCAAGGGGGATCCGGTAAGAACCCAAGTCCAAGCGGGCACTGATTTCCCCGTATAAGTTTCTCAAACTCTGTGTATCTCTATCTATGTGTTGCAGGGCGAGAAGGGCCACAAGGGAGATCAGGGACCCATGGGCCTGCCGGTAAGTGGCTGAATCGCCGTCAAGATTAGCCCGTAATTATAATGGAATATAATTGCAGGGTCCAATGGGCATGCGAGGCGAATCGGGACCCTCGGGACCCGCGGGAAAAGCTGGCATACCGGTAAATTTCAATTGAACGCAGGATACCTTCATGTTTGGCTTTTAATTTGCTACCCGCTCCTCACCTCCAGTCGGAATTAATCCCCTTCGTTTTTGTGTGGATCTCGTTACTAAACCTCTGACTAACCTAATTGTGTGTTCTCATCTCTCTCTCTCTCTTTTACTTGCAACAGGTGTGGGGCGACTACTAATACTAGTTAAATGGCAGTCTCTATTAAATAATAACCAGTCTAAAATGCGACTTGAAAGCTAAAAGAAAACATTCCTAGGCTCACGCACACACTCACACCGAAACACTCACAAATGCAAAGTCTTAAAAAAACACCCAAAAACACAGACACACAAACAGACATTTGAGGAAAGGAAAACAAATTTAATCAAAGCAAAACAAATGTTCAAAGTTACGAAGCCGCGCAACGCTTGTCAAATGTGCTCAGTTATCGTCTAAATATATATATATTATGTATATGTATATCAAATTGTACAAACACGCACCCATGTACAGAAAATCAAATACGAAATAGCAGCATGTCAGTGCCGAGTAAGCAAATCAATTAATTGCACACGGCAGAGAACAGAAATCAGAAATCAGAAATCCGAAACCATAAAACATAAACCTAAAACCGAAACCGAAACACCCTCCACCCGCATGAAGAAAAAAATTAATATTCATATCATTTAAAATGCCCCAAGAGTCAAATAAGTATTTATGTATACAAACAAGTAGCGCAAACAAACATATGTCTACAGAGCGTATTTACAAACGTCAATCAATCGAATCAACTAACACACTTTGAGCCATTCCCCCACACAGCCCACACACCCCCTACACCCCCACTCACACACTCTGACTAGTAAGCCAGCTAACAAATATGCAATGCAAATAATTTAATTGCATTTCATTCGCCGCTGCTCTGTGCGAAGCAGTCGCAGCAGCAGCAGGAGCAGGAGAAAATGCATAAATCATACGCACCGTGGTACGTGGCAGCACTGGGTCTTCTAGGGTTTCCACGAGTGCGAAACAGCACTAATTGATAGATTATGTCGAAGCCGAGTTGCTATCATTGACAATTTGCGGTGATTGGCTTAATTATCCACATAATCAGATGATCCTTGACTTTCTGCTTCCGCTCCAGCTGCAGCTTCCGCTCCTTCTCCTGCTCCTGCCGCTTGCTTGCATTGTCTTAGGTGCCGTCCATGGGCTTTGTCTGAATATTCGAATAGTACTCGTTCATGCAAAGCATAATTGCCAAAGCTTCAATGTGAAACACAAGAGCCAGTAGAAGAGACACAGTAAAGTTGTACTTAAGCCAGGAATTGTTCCAATTAATGGATAATTTCAAGACGAAATTGTAAGATATTTTGATTCGGATCTCTCTCAATGTTCGCATAGATATTGTTTAATTATTTCTGCCGTACTAAGCGGATTTATACATACAACAAATGGCAATTGAAATGCATCTCACTCGCGTATATCCACAACAAAGAGCTCTCCCATCCAATTGTGCATATTTTACAGTGTTAAAAACTTAAATAAACCCTGAGAAAGAGCAGAAGTTAGTTAGGCTAAAGTTACACTATACAGAAGACAGAGTCGGCTTACTCTCTCCCTCCCGAAATGCGAAAAATATCAATAATAAATACATAATCTTACCACGAGTATGTATCCTATTGGTTTCATGGACATCTCAAACAAAGTAACGCAAATATTTCTATTTATACAAGAAATAATAAAGAATCGAAGGCGTAAATTAACATTTTTCAATGCGAGTGCTCGAACTAGGCAGGGGACAAAAATCAAACATAATCAATGCAAATGAAATAATGCCATGGAAATATGATAATAAAAGTATATAGAACTGCCCAGTCGACAGCGCATTTCCAAATCCGCAGCCCATAAAAATTCAATGGGAATTATTGAATATGCAAATGGGGAAATGAAAACGAAAATGGAATGGAATGGAAAATTTTTGCAGCTTTAATGTTTGCATGAACAGCCAACAGCAAACGGCATCGAAAATCACAAAGAATATGTCAATTTGTTTTCAATTAGATGTGTCTCGTTGTTGTAATAATCCCCAAATGGAAAACAGAATACACAAACAATTTGCATGTCAATTTTCATTTAATCCACTAAATGTCAAGCAACCCAACGTGTACATACGCTGCGATAAAGAATGGAATTTAATCATATAATTAACTATTAATTTTTCTAGCTGTTTCACCTCTCTCTTACCATCTTGCTCTCTAAATATATAAATATACTTACTCTGTACGCTCTAGATTCCTTCACTCACTAACTACGAACTCAACTCTCTCTCGATCCATAGGCTAGAATAATGAATTGTGTTTTCGCGATTGAAACTTAAACTTAAACATTAACATTAACCCCTAATTACCTAACTATAATTGAAGAGCAAGCGAAAAGGTAAAACCCCTAATAAGCCGCTAACCGTAATTGTAAGTGTACATTTGTTAATTACCCCATAAACAAGAAGAGTTTGCAAACGAAATAAAAATAATAAAACATAAAGCAAATCTATATATATATATATATATATACAAGGATATATATTTACGTGTATTTATGTCTATATACTAAATGTCGATGTGCGAGTGCATTATGCCATCACGAACCCCAATACCATATTTTTATCTGTGCTGCTGCGTGCATTCCAAATGTATAATTCCATATGATTCGATTGATAAAGTAATAACGTAATAACGTAATAGCGCAATGCGAATCCCGACAATTGTTTGCCTTGGCCCCTCCCGAGCATGTGCGAATCGCGGTTAAGCGGCGAGCAAGGCAGGCAAACAAGGCAAGGCCACAGAATGACAGATTGTAAAATGATTGCTAAACGAAACTAACATAATTTTCGTATTAATTATGCATTTTCAATAAAGTGATGGTTTTTTACTAAACAACAAAATTTAAACACTCATTTGCGAGGCAGGGTGTTCCCACTTTATGCCGCTCTGCTAACCACACGCTTTCCCCATTTTCTCTCCACTCTTTTTTCGCTTTCTCCACTCGCCGCAGGGACCACCGGGCTTGGATGGCATGAAGGTACTTCCCCGAAAATCCATCGACTGCGAAAACACTGTGGCTGTAACCGATATCTCTTTCTATATTCGCAGGGCGCTCAGGGCGAGACCGGACACAAGGGAGAGCGCGGGGACCCGGGTCTGCCGGTAAGCATTTCAAGGACACCTCGGGACATTTCCGTAGAAGAGAGCTCCTCTTCAGCTCCATGTGGTTGCTAATTTTAAATAATCTGTGTATTTTCTCTATTGTTTTTACCTCTCTCCTCTTTCTTTCTCTCTGTTTGCATGCGAATCTCCTTTATGTTGGCGTCGTTCACTACCCAATGCACCTGTCTGAAACGTTCTTAAACACACCTCTTAAATCCCCTGAAACACCCCCGTCAAAAACCCCGAAACATACACTTGCACAGGGCACCGATGGCATTCCCGGGCAGGAGGGTCCGCGCGGGGAGCAGGGCTCCAGAGGGGACGCCGGTCCGCCCGGCAAGCGGGGACGCAAAGGAGATCGCGGCGACAAGGGCGAGCAGGGTGTGCCCGGCCTGGACGCACCCTGTCCCCTCGGTGCCGACGGGCTGCCGCTGCCCGGCTGTGGATGGCGGCCGCCAAAGGTTAGCATGCGTTATACGTCGTACTACCATAAAAAAAAGAGCTATCCGACAGAACCTATCCCGTCCTGCAGAGAGAGAAATATAGGAAATAAGGCCACATCTTAATAAAATAGTTAACATCTTAAGGATCGTATAAGAATTATTGATAAAGTTTATAAGTCGTAACTTACCTCCTATTTTCTCTCTGTGCCCAACCCCCAATTGGCTGACGGAAAGTTGATCATTGGTATTTTGCATGAGCCACTCCTGGCATCCCCGTAATCTACAAAGTAGTGGTAGTATCTTCTTCTTGTTGTTGTCCAACTTGGCTAACTAACTTTTGCTTTCGCACACACAACTACACTAACACACTACAAAACCGGCAAAACGCACACACTCTCGCTATCGCGAACACCTAACACAGGAGCCAATCATCTCGACACCCGTGCACAAGGACTATTTGCCCGATGTAACGCAGCCGGAGAGCAACGCCAGCGATTATGAGCAGGAGGAGGAGGAGGAGGACGAGCAGGCGGAGGATAATGAAAACGAATATGATGAATATCCGGATCATTTGCATAACAATGAGTGAAAAGGAGGCAGGCAGCCAGCAAATGCCGGCAAACGGCAAATGGCAAATGGCAAACAAAACACACACACCAAAGCAAACAGACCCGTTCCAGGACACTCACACAGACACTCTTACACTTTAACCCCACGCACCCACCCACACAGGCCGAGGCCCTGGCACAGGCACACCGACAAGGGCGACTAGTTAAGCATTTCCGATTTCCGCTGCGAGTCCTGGATCTGTTTCGCTCTGTTGACATTTGCAATTAGCGTTAACAAATGCCAAGTGGCTGCCGCTGCTGCTGCTGCTGCTCCTAACGGTTCACCAAAGTAGATGCTATTAGCATACTCCATTTCTATCTTTATCCCTGTCCCTAACGCTTCCCACTCACCCACTCACTTGCTCACAGAATTATCCTTTACACAGTCGCGCACACACACTGCTATGCTCATGCCGGCTTAGCTTTTTGGTGATGGGTCCTCCCGACTGCCTCTCTCCCTTTTGACTTTTCTCATCCAACAACTGCGGCCTTTCCCGGCTGAACTTCTGTCTCGCCCCTCGCAGGAAACCTGGCAGGCCTGGCTCAAGGACGAGCTCAACGCACTGCAGCATCCGCGGCCAAAAAACTAATTAGCGCCCCCTCAACGGCTGCGAAGAAGGCGTGGTCCCGCTCTATCCCGACGAACCTAAGCGCTTTGGTCTTAATTTTAGTAACTTGTTATTGTTAAACTTAGGCATCGACATAGCCCTACTCAGAGCCCCACGCATTGCATAGAGACACAATCATAAACACTGTATAATCCACCAACTACTGTATCTGTATCTGTATCTGCATCTGTGCCAAATTGCTCCGGGTTGCCACCAGGATCCCCGACGTCGCAACCTCTAATTTTAGTTTTAATTTACCTATTAATATATAAATTGTATCTACTACAGCTATTTCTACAGCAGTTTCGAATACCATAAGCTAAAGAAGGAACCCAACTATTTTTTACAAGAGAAAAACTATTTAAAAAACAAAAACTTAAGAATAAAAGTGGACAAAAAAAAGTAACTAACAGAGTTTTAATGGAAGGACAAAGCAAGTAGTAGAGATACAATCTTAATGAAGGACGACTATAAGAAGAGCCTTAGAACCCTGAGAATTACTGTTGAATGATTGATATTTTCATTACTCTTTCAGCAGCTTGAAATGCTTAACATATTTGTGGACATTATCCTTGACGTAGGGCTTCAGGGCGATGCAGGTGGGAATATTCTCGGGCTGTTCAATCCACAACTTGTGCTTAATATCGTGCTCCTTCAACTTCTCGCTGAGCTTCACCAGAGCCGCCTCATCTTTGGCCTGGAAATGAAATTAAGTTAAACATCTGTATTGGTAAATGGATTTAATAAATACTCACCTCCAGGACCACTTTGTGCATATTGTCCAGATCCTGTAAATAGGAAACCGTGTCCGTATCTTCCGAATTCAAATGCATTACGGCGGCGGTGGCGTGGCAACATTGTGCGATAACCGCACCCATGGGCCAATTGAGCGCAGAACGTAAATCACTGCGCACAACAATATATTGCACGATATTGCTCATAATTATAAAGTATTTAGCAATTAAGTTTTGTTTATTATTAAAAATTGTTGAGTGTGACCGTACGATTTTCCACAAAAAACACCGAATCTAGCTATATAGCTAGGCATGTTAGCTATATAGTGCTGCCATATCGACGAAAAAGGATGATGATAACGATAAGAAGCTGGATGCTACGAAAATGTTCCTTTTGCGGTAGTCTGGCAACTCTATAATACCAACGGTTTTACACCCTTACAGGGTATTATAATTTTATTCAGAAGCTTCAAAAAGAGTGAAGAAGCCATTTCCGACCCCATAAAGCATATATATTCTTGATCAGCATTAACAGGCTCATCTTTATGGCCATGTCTGGCAAAAAAAAATTTTTTATCAATTTTTTCAAAATTTTATAAGGGGTTACATCATTAAAATTCTCAAAATTTGATAAAATTTTCAATTTCTAACTAAGTATGCAGATTTGTTAACCTTATAAAAACTAACATAACGCCGCTTTCCGAACGCACATTAAGGCATTTTTGACAGAGTTATGACTTTTTTAGTTTTTAATTTTCTGTTTTTCTCATTTCAATTACCGACTTTCCATCGTCATTGCCATCGCCATCGCTCATCAGTACCACCCACCCCGGCCAAAAACCAAGGGAAAGGACCAACGACACAGAGATCCGCGAAGCACAAGTTCATCCTAGTCATCATTGTAATTGTTGATTGATGATCATCGGATCGGCAGTGGTGAAGCTGGAGGAGCAAGCAGCTGGGATGGCGGAGCTCAAGCGAATGGCAGTGGTCGGATCTTGGCTCCGGACTAGCTGAAGCCCAGCAGGCGTAAAGTATTGGAATATTTATAACTACATTTTAAATGTGTAAATGTAATTGATGGTACAAACAAATTTGAATCAATAAAAAAGGGAAATCAATGTGAAATTGTATGGTTTAAGCGGCATTTATTTGGGGGCCTTGGGATTGTTTGGGGAAAAATCTGTTGAAAGCCAAATGTAATTTTTTTTTAAATTTTTAACATCATTTTCTGAATTTTTAAATTTTGTATCTAAATTTCTACAAGTTTTCCTGAATTTTTAAAATTTTTTTCTAATATTTTAACTTTTTTTTTAGATTAAAAAAAAATTTTTTAATTTTTAAAATTTTTTTAAATATTTTAACTGCCAAATTTGAATTTGAATTTAACTGCCAAATTTGAATTTGAATTTAACGACGATCAGTTTCAGTGTGCCCAGGTGCAGTTGTAAAATAAAACCTAAATTTGGATTCAAAAGGTTTGAGTCTCCGCTAACTTGTGTCGGCTCCTAAATGGTTTGGAACTTGGACATTTTATAACAGTTTATACCAGTTTTCAGCTGCTTGCTGCTGGTTTCTGTTCGCCTGTTACCCCAGTTTGGAAAGCGGCCAAATCGAATGAAAAATTTTGCTCACTTGCATCAGTGATGCTCATCTGCATCAGTGATGCTCATCTGGCTATATTTTAATATTGGAGGGCAATAAAATCGGGCTTAATGGCAGTAATGCGCATGTGGATCAGTGATGCTCATCTAGCTATTTTTTTGCATTATTGGTAGAAAATTGCATCTCACTAGCTGCCAGTGATGAGCATCACTGATGGAAGTGAGCATCACTGATGGAAGAGAGCATCACTGATGGAAGTGAGCATCACTGATGGAAGAGAGCATCACTGATGGAAGTGAGCATCACTGATGGAAGAGAGCATCACTGATGGAAGTGAGCATCACTGATGGAAGTGAGCATCACTGATGGAAGTGAGCATCACTGATGGAAGTGAGCATCACTGATGGAAGTGAGCATCACCGATGGAAGTGAGCATCACTGATGGAGTGAGCATCACTGATGGAAGTGAGCATCACTGATGGAAGTGAGCATCACTGATGGAAGTGAGCAAAATTTAAATTCAAATTGGCCGCTTTCCAAACTGGGGTAACAGGCGAACAGAAACCAGCAGCAAGCAACTGAAAACTGGTATAAACTGTTATAAAAACATTTGGGCAAAAATAATAATTGGTATAAACTGTTATATTTCATTTTATGCATTTATACCTATTTGTTGCCGACAACAACAGCTTGATGGGAACAACAACCTTTTTACAACAACATCCCTTCAGCAGCCCATCCAAATTTTTGAACATTTCCATGCAAATTGCACGTTTCCCAAATTGGGGTACCAGGCGAACAGAAACCAGCAGCAAGCAGCTGAAAACTGGTATAAACTGTTATAAAAAGTCCAAGTTTCGAACCATTTAAGAGCCGGCGCAAGTGAGCGGAGACTCAAACCTTTTGAATCCAAATTTAGGTGTTATTTTACAACTGCACCTGGTCACACTGAAACTGATCGTCGTTAAATTCAAATTTAGCAGTTAAATTTAAATTCAAATTTGGCAGTTAAAATATTTAAAAAAATGTAAAAAAATTAAAAAAAAAAATTTTTTAATTCTAAAAAATCTGAAAAAAATATTTAAAATTCAGAAAAAAAATGTAAAAATTCAGGAAAACCTTCAAAAATTTAGAAAAAATTTAAAAAATCCAGAAAATTATGTTAAAAATTAAAAAAAAAATACATTTGGCTTGCAACAGATTTTTCCCCAAACAATCTCAAGGCCCCCAAATAAATGCCGCTTAAACCACACAATTCCACATTGATTTTTTCTTTTTTTATTGATTTAAATTTGTTTGTTCCATCAATTATATTTACACATTTAAAATGTAGTTATAAATATTCCAATACTTTACGCCTGCTGGGCTTCAGCTAGCCCGGAGCCAAAATCCGACCACTGCCATTCGCTTGAGCTCCGCCATCCCAGCTGCTTGCTCCTCCAGCTTCACCACTGCCGATCCGATGATCATCAATCAACAATTACAATGATGACTAGGATGAACTTGTGCTTCGCGGATCGCTGTGTCGTTGGTCCTTTCCCTTGGTTTTTGGCCGGGGTGGGTGGTACTGATGAGCGATGGCGATGGCAATGACGATGGAAAGTCGGTAATTGAAATGAGAAAAACAGAAAATTAAAAACTAAAAAAGTCATAACTCTGTCAAAAATGCCTTAATGTGCGTTCGGAAAGCGGCGTTATGTTAGTTTTTATAAGGTTAACAAATCTGCATACTTAGTTAGAAATTGAAAATTTTATCAAATTTTGAGAATTTTAATGATGTAATCCCTTATAAAATTTTGAAAAAATTGATAAAAAAATTTTTTTTGCCGGACATGGCCAGAAAGATGCGCCTGTTAATGCTGACCAAGAATATATATGGTTTATGGGGTCGGAAATGACTCCTTCTATGCGTAATGAGCTTCGGACTGGAAATAAAATACCCTGCAGGGGTATAAGGATACTAGGACTTGTGTGGTTCACATTTTTATAGGTAAGTATTTTAGCAAAACTGAGTATGCAGTTTTGTTAAGCTTAGAAAGGGCAACTCAGAACAGCTTTCCAAATTGAATTTCATGCGTTTTTGGCCGAGTTATGAGCTGTTCTGAGTTGCTTTTTCTAAGCTTAACAAAACTGCTTACTTAAATATTTTATGAAAATCGGACGACTATATCATATAGCTGCCATACAAGCGATCGGTAAATGTATACAATATGTAAAACTGGGAATGTAAAACTGTAAGTGTTAAACTGTAAACATAATAAGTATAGGTAAAATGAAATGAAACTCTGTTTTGTGTGTGTTTTCAGCATTATAATTTATAATATAAATATCAAAACCAATCTGCAAGGGTATACAAACTTCGGTGTGCCGAAGTTAGCATCCATTCTTGTTAAACTTTGATTTGACCAAAAAATTATCAATAAAAATATAAAGAAATTGAGAATTTTTTGATGTTTTATTCTGTTTTTCTCTATGGTAAAAATTCTACAAAATTATAAAAACATTTATACATTGATTTTTCTGTTTCTTAATAATGTATATGTTTTTTAAATATGAGATTTCCAGCTTACTACAGACTTCACACGCTTTAATTTACGATTTTATCACTACGAACTCAATTTAAGTGCTGCCAGTCCAGTCCAGCACAAATTACTCACCCGCAACCCACAGCCAAGTAAGTCCGGTCAGTAATCCTTAATTTTGAAATAAATTGCTCGGCAAACATTGATTATATCGCACTTAATGCGCTGACCTGCCCAGCCCCACTCCTAAAGCCATTATAAATCCAAATTAGAAGAGGCGAAATTCGTGTAGATACTTTGATTTTATTGTTGTAATTTCTTGGAACACTTTACATTTACATTTAAATTTATACGCCATAGATGCGAGACGATAAACGACGACTACACACACATAAACAACTTGACAGTTAATTGATTTAATTTACGCACCACATTGATACGGATCTGGGCGATCCTACCTCGTAATTGATATCGTGTCTAAGATATAGTCATAGTTCGTAAAGGTACACTTTTGCATATATGTATGTGTAGAGATAGCTCTTTTCGGCTGCTTTGCTTGCATATTGCTCGTAGCTTTGGTATATAAAATATAAATAGGTTGCTGACAGATTACGCTACTAAATAAGAACGTTGAATTGGGCAAAACTTGAGATTCTTGGAGAGAAAACAACACTCAACTAACAACGACGGAGCATCAAATGGGGGGCGTCGAGATCGCCGGCCTCCTCTATCGCTAATACATTTATATTTATATTAATTTTAATAATAATTTCACTTGTTGCATGCGTTCAGTATGGCCAGGGTCGAAATTTCACTCGCTGCACTCGTTCAGGGTGGCCAGTGTCGTGCTTGAGTTGTTGGCAGAGTCGGGCTTAGAAGCTGGTCTTGCCGAAGATAAAGTTGCCCGGCGCATCCACGTCCTCGGCGGCAAAGTACTCCTTCCACAAGGCAGCGAACTGCTCCCGGGTGACGTCGCTCTGGCCCTGGGCCATCTTGCTGAAGGCCTCCTCGCACTCGGTCTTCTCCAGGCCGTAGCTGGAGCAGACCAGCGTGAACTCGGTCACGTCAATGCCGCCGTCGTGGGAGGCGTCCTCCAGGTCGAACATGAAGTTCATGTAGGCGTTCTGCCAGTCCATC